TCTAGAGTAATACTGCCACCTGGCAACACTGACTGTCTTTGTATTTTTTCTTTTTTTTTTTTTTTTTTTTTTTTGGGGGGGGGGGGGGACATCCAATACACCACTTCAACTCCTTCCCACTAACTTGTTCGTCCTACTTTTTCTTCCTTTACACCCGTACAGAGGGGATTTCAGAAGAAGAACACCCCTTCATGCAACTGGCGTTTCGTCCTGTATTTATGCGTAGATGCTTGACTTGTTTATTTTACACGCACTCCACTATCCCCGACTCCCCCCACCCCCCCACCACACACACACTAGGCCTAGCTGCGATATTGATAAGCATCTCAGAGAACCCGATAGGCTAGATGTCGTTTGTCCGCTGTCACCTATTTGAGAGAATGATTCAACGTTTCGTCATACATCATATCATCTGTCAAAGTCGTGTCGTATAATGCAATATTATAAAAGTATCCTTAGAAGTGGGGCGTCCATTCATTTATTCGGTGACTTGTTACAGTTGTGAACCTGAACAGTTTGTCCCCTAAATTCAGGTCTGGCAGTGCTGCGATAACACAAAGACTTACTGCGTGATAAGTTACGATTGGGTAAGTTGTACATTGATATTGAATTTGTATCTATTTTGTGGAACTGCATTTTGATCCTTGCTTTTATCATTTTGAATGTGTGTTTTTTTCTAGCTACTTTAATTTCGTATATCTCAAGGTTTCAGGACTGACGTTGAAAACAATTTGTATAATCTAGATCTTTATCAATAGGAACTTAATGTAGATAATGTTTCCGTTTTTCGCGAAAATTCTAAAAACTAAAACATGAATACTGAATTTACATAGTTTTAGAATTTAAATAATTTAACTGGTGCAGTAGGTGTATTTAATCTTACGGAACAGCTTCGAAAACGTTTAATTCGCCGGACTCTTTTTCAAATGCCTCAAACAAATAGAAAGCAGTTTGAAGAACGGTCACTCACTGGCCTAAGGATACAATTATAATTTAGTGCGTCTTTCGAACATAATCATTCCGATTTTGTGCACAGGATTGAAGAACATTTTAAAAGTAGCAGGATTGACTCGTTTAGGACGTGCATTCTGGTTACCCTTATTTAAAAAATTATTTTTTTTGGTAAGTGTTTTATGCGCTCGCAACTGCATAAGGTCATATGAGCATACGGGACGTATTAAATATTTTCAGTTGATAGGAAATTTTAAACTTTGCCCGGATGGCGGCCGAAGCCTACCCTTATCGATTTTGGACCTCCAAGGGATCTTTAACGTGCGCAACTTGCACTCTTGTACGAGAAGGCTATGTGTAGATCTTTCCTACCAGAAGATCAGGGGTGTGGCTGAAAGACAGCAGTAAGAAGGAGCCAAGGAGTAGCAGTAGAAAGGATGCAGAAAGAGTCAGGAGCCCAGTGGAGGGGGCAAAGGAGGTGAGGGGGTGGGGGAAGAAAGTGGAGACGAAAGCAAACGACAGAATATTGCAAGAGAGAAGGAAAAAAGGTGAAAGGAGACAATTTTAGAGATGAAAATGTTTCCGTTGCTATATATACCAGGATTCGATCCCAGGACCTTTCAATGAGATGCGAACACCTTAACCTCTAGGCCCCGAGAGCCCCCTTAACAGATCTTTGAGACTGTCACTGATAAAAATCGGGAATTGACAAATGCATCTATTTGGACACTCGAATCGATATAAATGCCTTGAATATCTCTTTAAAAAACAGTAAAAGTTTTATGTCACTTGCAACACAATTAGGTTATATACGTGCCGAAGATTAGAGGAGGTACAATAGAGCTACAAACACAAAAAAGGAGGAGTGATAAGGACGACAGATATTTAAAAGGAAAGAAGGAGCAAACCGGACCAGAGCCCCTGCCAATCACCCATCTTGAATGGCTTGCTCTCCATGGAAGATAGGAAGCAAAAGAGACGAACCTAGACCAAGAAAAACTTACTTAAAGTACTTGACCAGATGGACGACGGGATAACCCCAAGAAACGTTTGAGAACACAGGAGCAGAAAAATATGAGTGGAGAATTGTGGCAGCCCGAATCTGTTTCAGCTCCTGCACTTCAAGAAAAGGAGGAAGAACAGAGGAACGAAGGAAAGAAAAATTAGACTGCGAAAAGCGACTTCGTTCTTTTAGTAATAAACACTTTTGTTGTATTTAGTGATAAACAATTTGTCGGTTTACTTACGCTCGTCGGCATTCATCATTGTCGTATGTCAAAATGCGAGGTTTTCAGGAGAAGGAAAAAACTGTTTCATTTCGGACAGGTTCTCTATAAGATAAATGTTGTAACATAAAATTACGTTATTTTCGGTGCTGATTTAAAAAAAACGAATTAAATTTTAAATACATCAGCTACTTTCTCTGTTGTACGACATACGACTTTGTTTCTTAAAATTTTCGTCAAGTACAATGTATCAAGGCGACTTACTACAATAATGATACAATAGAACCCTGCTGTAAGTCGACATACGACAATGATTCTTGACGAAATATTGTTGGATTAAAGAGAACCCGTTATCAATTCATTGTAACATACTACAATATGTCTGCTACTCCAAGAACATGTAATAGAAATGTGTTACCCAAACTTACTAGCAAGGTGCTGTATTTTCAAGGTGCAAATGGAATAATGATATTATAAATGGTTTGAGACAGTTAAACAAACATGCCAACGTAGATATCTCTCAGACATTCCTTATAATTCTTCAGAAGCTCAACATTTTTTAACTTGTGTGGCTTCACAACTAACATCTATTACAATAACCATCCATTGGCACCCTAAAAGTAAAATTACCCTGTTACTAGCTTTGGGTAAACAGTAGTAGTAGAGAATCATGTCAGCGAACCTCTCTTTTCAATTCATTTATCAAGCAAATTGATAAAGGACGAACATAGCAGTGACTGTGGTGTAATGGTTAGGTGCTTCGCCTTCCACGCGTCTTTCTGATGGGATTCGTCCCGCTCAGCCCGGGTTGGCTAAGACAGGCAGGGTCAAAGTCGCCCTTCTCTTAAATGGCCTTACAGTGGTAAAAAGGGACGTTAAACTAAAAACAAAAAACAAACAAACGGACGAACATAGAAAGTCATCAGAGTTTCTACACATTTTTTTCAATTAAAGCAAAACTTGACATCCGCCTAGACGACTAGGTGTGCATATTTTGACTAAATGGCCAAATAAGACATTGATTAGATATAATATTATCTGGAGAAGCTACTATTTTCATGTCTTATGTTTAACAATTCAACAACGACCTGATGACCAGATGCACACATTTTGATTAAATTACCAAATAAGACAATGGTTAGATATTGCATTGTGTACTAGCTTTAAACGTTCAGTTTCACAATTCAAGAGGCGCCTAGATGACCAGATGAGATATTGATTAGACATTATCCTATTTGAGAAATTACCATTTTCAGGCCTTAAGTTTTTTAAAATGATTATAAACAGAAAAATGAGAAAAGGGTACATTCATCTGTATCTCAACAGAATATGACGAGTTCATACAGGTATAAGTATTCTTTTTGATCCAAGAAACTTAAATGTATTAAGTAACGGCAGCGATATGTACTCAAAGTTTAAAAATGTTATGGCAATGTGAGATCAATGTCAAATATATCAAGAAAAACACAAATGAATTCAAAATCTACAAACACAAGATTAAACTTCAAACAGACCATAAAGGAGACTTGTATGCTCATAATGTTGATTGAATAAATATTCAAGAGGTACAAAGATTAACCATAACGATCAACGAAGACAAGGCAGGCGGCAGTAGTTTCAATTTCTCTGACAAGTCTGGCAACACTCTTCCATTACTTTTCAGTTCGACTCATACTCTGAATCTGCAGGATAAGCGGCCTCTCCTATAGTTAAACTCTTGTAAAAATCATGGTGTGCTATGGGTATGATTTGTCTGTCACACATCGCAAGCAGATCTTTGCTCTTTCTGAAATCAATTCCCAATGGGGCTGAATAAGCTGGTTTTGGACTCAGGGAAGGATTCATGTCAGCAGGCCTTCTGCCTCTCTGAAACAGGTTCATTTCTACTGGTCGTGAATTCATGGAATACTTGACAGACAATGGGGTCACCCTTGCGAACCGAATACATTGTACATGCAGATTTGCAGGAACTTTGCATTTTCAGATCACAATCAGAGGTCTTGTTCTTGTTGATGAACTCCTTGGTCATGCTCTTGAAACCCCAAACGTCCTCCGTCGCCTTCTCTGTCACTTTATAATGTGATGTGTTTCTTTGAACCCCTTGAATGATTGTAGCCCACTGTGGAGTTGTGTACACACTGACATGCCTGCTAGGCGCCTCAATCCTGCCATGAATGGAGTACTGCATGTCATGTTCAGAGTGACCTCTTACAAAGAAGACATGGTTGATCTCCTCAAAGTCAAATTTTTAATGTTGTAGAGCCCATCACAACATCGCTATGAACGGCCGATTTCTGTTCTGTCCACCAACAGAATTTGACAGCAACTTTACTGTTTTGATGGATCCTGACCTATTTAGCTATTCTAGATGCTTCATCATGCACGAGGCAATATCACTAGCGCCACGTCTTGAGATAGTTTCATCCCAGAGGTAATTGTAGCCTGTCTTGTCATGAAAACCATAAACACCCATGTTGTAGTTGTAATTATTTAGTTGTCCCAAGTAGTAGATGTCACTCTCAATTGATTTAGGAAGTGGCAAACCTTCTTCCAGATCAAAGGTAGCGACAGCAACCGTCTTGTCATTTTGCATTTCTTCTGTGAGGTTATCTCTGTACTGGCGTGTAGCAGCAATGTCGTCTCTGTACTTCGTATCTTCTATCTTCATTAATTTCTTCAGTCTTGTTTTCACTGTTATCGAACGCAGAACAAGCTACACATGTATCTTCCTTTGGTCGATGGAGGCCAAGGCTCATTCAGAGTGTAAAATACATTTTTGTAACTGGATAGGGATGCAATGCCCTCAATCTCTTTGCGATTTTAATGGCGTCCGCTCTCGTCTGCTTCAACAAATCAAACTTCAGCCTTTTCCCCAAGAGATGTACATGTATTAACTGTACATGTATTAACAAAACACAGTTTCTGCAGTGCTCTATGTATGTAAGAAGAACTTTTTATAGTCTGTTGTTTCTTCACCATTGTTGATTAACTTGTAATATCTTGAGGTTCCCTTTGGTCTAACAGTGCTTGTACGTCTATACTTTGGCTCAGCATCTCTGACATTCTTGCTATAAAATCCCAACGCATCTGGGGTTGTCCAAGCTCCCAAAAAGATTTCAAAATGTCAGTTCCTTGCTCTTCTGCGATTTTTTCCTTGCAACGTCGCTAGCAAATATCTGGATTGCAGCCAACTCCATCAGTCTTTCTTTTTGCATAATTATGTAGCCTTTCCCCAAGTTTTACTAATCCTTTTTCACCTTCCGTTTATCTACAGGTCTTTTGCGTCTTTCCGCCGTAGCTTGTGCGCCATGATGATCTATGAGTGCGTCAGGACGTTTGTCTTCAGTGGTTTTTGCCAGAGAGGGTGCATTAGGATTATTATGAATGGTCGTGGTAACTTTGTTTATCATATCCTCAATTAAATCTCTAATGACAAACATATCAGAATGCATGCTACTGGCCTGAGAAGGATTATTTCCTAGACTAGCATTATCATTTAAAGAACTGCCTGCCGGCTGCAGTTCTGTGGGCATCTCCGAGCTCGGGCTAAGCAGTAAATGCTTGGCTTTCCTTTCACAATGCACACTCAGGGGCGTGTGGCAAGCCATCGTCTTCTCTGAGATCAGACTCCATTTCACAGCCATTCCTCAATAAGTCAAAAGACACTGGTATTGTTTGTGTCAGTGCACGTCAGATTTTCCTGCAAAATATACCTTAAGAACAGATTCAACGACAAATGCGAGCATTTCAATAGACTGTTCCAGCAAGATGCATAATGTAGTATGTCAGTACAAACTTGGTACATTTGATGAGGAAGTGCGTGAACTTCGAAAAGTAATAATGTCGTATGTCGACATACGACATGCCTCAGTAGCTTTTACTATGTAGTAAGTCGACTTGGTTCAATGTTCCCTGACGATATTCTTCGACTTTATCTTAATACAAAATGTTTAATGCTTCTATACCTGTTACTATTTTACGTAGAGGAATGAAACCGGGACCAAAAGATGCGGCTCATTAAACTCTACAACATACTAGATTTTCATTTTTTCGAAATTTTGACTTACGACAATGATAAATGCCGGCGACGATATATGCAAAGGCTTTCGAACTCTAAAGGTTTTTATAGGCACTTTGACTAGACAAAAAAGAGAGACGAGAGAGAATAAGAGAAAGAGAGAGAGAGAGAGAGAGAGAGAGAGAGAGAGAGAGAGAGAGAGAGAGA